CACAGTGCACATATCCCGGCAATAGCAATTATAATCATTTTAATTACAAACCACGGACATTTTATATAAGTGGATATTTTCAACTCAGCCTTCCTGCTGTGCAGATTATTAATAGAAGCCTGCGTTTGTGAGGAGTATGAGCACTCAAACACACTCCACACTCACCCACACACACACGCACACACACACTATACGCATGTCCCAGTCCCAAGTTGTGTCACTCTGGCACTGCGATAACCTTTAGCCTTGCCTTCTAATGGCTTTTTCCCACAACATTTGGTGTCTGTGCGGCGCTTGTGTCCGAATTAGTTGCACTTCCTTGTTTACTAGTCTGTGCCAGTCCATTGTGAACTTTTTCTATATTTACCCATTTGAGCAGAGCCCATTTGTGTGTCAATTTGTGCTTTTATTATTTATTTGCCAGTTCCATGGGGAGTTTAAGCTTAAGTCTATATAACTGCGGGAGCCCGACTCGGTTTACAGCTGGGCCGAGGCCTAATTAAGCTTTCGTCTTTTTTCTGGTTTTGTTGTTGTTGTTGTTATTTTTTTTCTACCCTCACACACGGCAGAGTTTTATTTATGCAATTAAGCAAAGCTGCGTGTAATAAAGTTCAGGTCGCGCAAGTAAAATCTTTGATTAATTGTAGTTTTGTTTACACGATGAGAGGCCGAAGTCTACGCCTGATTATATGGGCTCAGAGCTAATTTATGGCAAGTGTATTGCACCTGGCCCCATCCTATCCATCTGCCTGAACAGGTGATTAGTGTATCGTCCTTGTTTGTTCTCTGTTCAGTTTTTGGAAATTTGTTTACACCAGCCGTGTTTTGTTAATCGCTTTCTCTGCCCAATCATGATCATTATCATTATTATGCCCTCATATATACCGATTAGGTTGAGTGTGGGTAGAATGGTGGTGAAAACCTTGGCGGATAAGTGATGAAGATGGGAGGCAACATCTCGTGTTTCATGAAGATTATGTTTTCATAATGATAAGGCTATCGCTTAAATAATTCTGATTATTCGAATCTTAGAATACATTAAATTTCGAAACAGTTTCAGCTTACAAAGTGAATTTAATAGTTTGGAAATGATTTACATTCTTATTCATAAATAAATATAATATTTTATCTATGATTTTATTCACTTTCCGCATTCCAATTGTCTCTCTATACTAATAGAATTCCCACAGTTTGTTCATAGCTCACAATTTAATTTATGATTTATTAAACAGTTAAACTGTCTATAAAATATATACTCTCCTATATACTGTAATATTATATAACAATATAACAAGTATATAAAATCGAATCTATGATATCATTCAGATCCCCAACTCCCTATCTATCGGAATGTAATTTAAACTGTTCAGACATAGTTCACAAATCATTTACCAAGTCTGCCTTTGCAATTGCGATTTATTTACATTTTAGCATTTTGTCGTGTCGTGTTCCTGTTTTCATTCTCCGTTTTCCTGGGTTATAAACTTTAATGTGATATCGTAAAATGTAAGCACGACTGCGACCCGAGAATAAATACCTAATGGACGGCATGGGGCCAGGCGGGGAGGGCATTGAGTCATAGAGCGAGCCTGTGGCCTCATATGATGCCATAATCACAGCAATGACAATGACAAAATGTTAATGTGTCTCGGCACAGATTTGGTTTATTTTTTATTTTTATGGCCCGTCATAAATTAAAAAACAATTTGCGGAATTCGGTCGCAAACTAATGAAAGGACTCAAGAAGGCGATCATTTAAAACAATTTGCAAACATTTAAATATCAATTAGGGCGCTCTATCCTGTATTTTTTGGCAAATATAAAACAATTATTGGGCAACAAAAGCAGCAAAAAAATTCATGAGAATTAACTCGAATTTGCGCGTTTTAAATGCAAATCAGAAGCAAAAGCAACAACAACAATTACGAAGCGCTCAACAATTATAATAAATAACCACGAAAATTCGAAATGATTCGCTCGGTGAGGGGGCTGTAGGGACTGTGGGGGCTGTAGGGACTGTGGGGGCTGTCGGGGCCGTCGCACACAGAAAATTAATAATAAATCTCAAAATGCTCATTAACTTAATTACTGTGTTTATTTTCATTGCCCTTCCGCAAACCTCGCAACGCGTCATCATCGTCATCCTCGACGTCGTCGTCGTATTTGTCGTTGTCGTCGCTTTTCGATTCGTTTCCAAGTTTTGGCAGTTTTCACTTTGTATTATTTTTTTTTTTCCTCATATTTATACTCTTGTAGAGGGTTTAGTAAGTTGAATAGAACTCTTTATTTTTTATATCACTAATAGGTACATCTAGCAGATATTTCTATTTATTAACATTATTTAGAACACGTTGTGGGAAAAAATGGTGTTTATTTTTTGAGAAAAAAGAAAAAAATATTGAAAAAATAATAACAAAAAAAAAAAAAAACAGAAAATAAAAAAATAATAATAATAATAAATAATATATAAAATAACAATAATAATATAAAATATATGAAAATATGAAAATATAATTATAGCTAAAATGTAGTTTTTCAATAATCTGTAAGGCCTATATTTAAGAGAGCATTGCCTCTTCGGCTTGCCATTTATTTTCATTATTCTTAGTTTTATTCTCCTTTTCCCTCGTATATTGTGTTCAAATGTTTTTGTTTGCTGCGTCACGCAATTTTTATAGCTCTCGCCCCTTCGGATATTGCTGGACGAAAATTCGGATAAACAAACTCACTGAAGAAACGAAGTATAAAAAAAGAAATGATGAAGAAGAAGAAGAAAAAAATAGCCCCAGAACATGGAAAAATTGCGCGTCTTTAACCTTAATGTGTATTTAAGTAATGTTAATTGTGTGTGTAGAGCAGAGGTGCGGAGAGGCAGAGGCGGAGGCAGAGGCAGAGGCGGAGGCAGTGGCAGATGTCGCCAGGTGGCTGCCATTCCTCGATTTCGCATTTGCTTTGCATTGTTGTTTTTCGTTTTTGGCACATTCTTTTCTTGTAATTATGTTAATTTTGCTTTCATTGCGACCTGCTGGCAGCGTGTCTCAAAACTTGTGTTCTGTTCACTAAATTTTGTTATATAATTGCTGGGTAGAGCTGTTAATTGAAATTCGAGTGCGAAGCGCACAGGCTAACAATTAGCCCAAGGATATTTTATTTATTATTAATTGAATATGCTTGTTGCTGACGCTTAATTATATTTTATTAAAATTTTATGTGTGATATTTACAAATCGAGTTTT